TTATACAAATACAGCAAAATTTACGGCATACTGGTTTAGACAAAATTGAATTTTGGTTTTTATCGTAACTTAAAAAAAATAATCCTAGAGACAAGAAATATTCACTGAATTCTCATATCACCAAATTATATAAATAAGCGACGAAAAATGCACTTATAACGGCTGTTTGTTCGGTTTCTGGCATTTTTGATCACCATAAGCGGCTGATTCTTATAACCAGTGAACACTATAAGCGGCGACCATTGTACCATTAAAACACATTTAAATACACATCCATTAATTAAATTAAAAAATTAAAATCTATACAATTGTGTATTTAACGATATAATATATACTTCGTTCATAAATAGTTTAATAACTATAAAATTACAAAAAATTACAGCTCCATATTATATTATTTATAATATACACAAGCTACATAATTGGTTTTAATAAATTTGGTCTGTCTATATCTGCCTATGTGCTCATTATAACTCCGTTTTCAGCTGGCTGTAGTAGCGGTGAAAAAATAAAAAAATTAACGAACAATGATTTGATTAATTTTTTAAAGGTATGTAATTAAGCCTATGAGTGTTGAATTTAGACATTTTCTGCTGAAAAAATCCGTGAAAAAACAAGATGGATATGAATGGAGATCAGAATTGCAAGCGGGTATGAAATAAATACAGATGCTTTTGAAACGTGTGGTATTCACATAGCTAAACTGTTTATTGAACTCTACCCCTGGTACTATACTATATGCCTCAATATATACTGTACATACAATTTTGCTTCACAGACCTGATGTTATCCGGCATGCAATTTTACTAATTGATAGTTAATTTTTAAATATATATTGTGTTTGTGCATATAATATGTACAGTATATATTTATAAAGAATAATCATTTTTTTTAAAGGTCAATTGTCTAATGAAGCTCGAGAATGCAAAAAAAAAAAAAAAAATACAAAAATTACAGGAAACATAACTCTTGATAATTATCCAGAGTGAAAATTAATGAAGATCTCATTAACATAATATCGTCCATGCGAATAATTCAACCGAAAAAATTTAGGAAATTTCAGACAATGCAAAATTTTTAATAATAATGCTCCAAGATCAAGCAAGTGATTCCAGTAAATCTCAATCTCATAATGATTCAGAATAATATAATTTTTATAATATTAATCATTTAAATTTAATATTTCTAGTTAAAATGTTAATACTAAACATTATAATATTGTACATAGTTATTTAAATAATATTCTAAAGAGTAAAAGTAGAACGACGAGGCTTGGTAAATTTTTATAATAAATAATGAATAAAATATAATATTGTATACTTGTATTAAATTTATATAAATAAATGGAAGTCCTTAAATATACAAACATTGTTATACGTGTATCTCCCAACTAGTTAAACATGATAAGTTATCTATTTAATAGTTTGTTACACAAAGTAGATACAAAAAGGTATAAACATACTATGGTAATTTATTACGAATAAAAACTAAAATTTAATTTATGTAAGTTACATTTACTTTTTATACCACTGTGCGGAGCCGCGAACTGCTGTTTCGCACCGCTACGGTCAAATCGTGATTACGCGAAATATAATCATAAATAATTAAACCCTTGGTACACGACGCGTTTGTAGGTTCGCGTTGTAGTAGGGTATTATTATTATTGTGATAGGACATTGGCGGTGGCGACGTCGTTTCGACATTATAATATTATTATTATTATTATTATTATTATTATTATTATTATTATTATTGGACCATGGTCGCAGTAGTACCTATTCAGGATTGTTATAGCGGTAATCACCCAACGATGCATAAATTACACGTGATGTGCGTCGATCGCGTTTGAACCCGATGAGAGAATCGCGATAGGCACGCCTCGATTTAGTTACAACAACAATAACAACAGCAATGAAAATAATAACGATTAATAAAAGTGATAATTACACTAATAATAATCTCGTCGAATAAAATACAGCATGGGGCTTACACGGGTTACCGACCGTTTTGCGATGTGCCTTTGACGTGTCATCGTTTATCACGAATGATAATTAATACCGTATAAAATCGATTCGCTCTGTTCAATTTATTTTTTTTTCTTCTACCGGAAATGGTTTCACCACCGGTTATATTTCCACCCCCGAAAATATTATCATTTCCACGCCAAACACTTACAAAATAATTTGATACCATCACTGATCTCTTATTAAAAAATATTCGTCAACGCATTAGCATATTAATATATACTATCATCTAAAATGCAAAACCCTTTTAATACGTGCCCGATTAAAATGGAATTCAGAAACTCGTATTAATATAAAATGTACATTTTAATATATTTCCTTCGTACAAAATGTTATCATTTTTATTGCTTTATTTCAATTTTACTATACAAGATTTCGTATTTCAATAATATATTACTTAGTCGCAAATATGATTAAAATATAAGTATAAGAAAAATATTCCATATATTTAAAGTTTGATTTCTAATTTAGTTAAGAACTTTTGAAAGAAACTTTTGGTCTTACCTGAAATAATTTTTATAAAACTGGTATTTATTCGTTTTACAGTGGTTAACAGTACCTACAGCTTACAAAGTTGAAAATATTCTTAACGGATCCTGTCCAAATCATCTTCTCAACAAACATTATTGATTGGATAATATCAAAAGTTTAATTGATAAACTGAATTGTATTAAACGTTTTACTTATTTTGTTCTAGTACACTAAATAATCGGAATGAATAATTTTCCTTTAATTTGAAAAAAATGTACCGATCAACAAAAGTTTTATATATTAAAAGTAATTGGTTGAAAATGATTTACATAATGTGAAATATATTAATTATATTATACATAATACTATTTGAAATAAAAACTCTAAGACGAATTTATGGACCTTATCTCAACTCAAAAACCAGAGAATGGAGAATTTGAACCAATGAAGAACTTCTAAACATCTTCCAAAGACCAAGCATTTCTAGCGAAGTCGCAAAAAGAAGATTGATGTGGGCCGGTCATGCCTGGGGGGGGGGGGGAAAGACGCAATGATAAATGCAGTAATTAAAGAAGAACAGGAAGGGAAAAGACCACTAAACAGACTTCGTCTCAGATGGGAAGACTGTGCAAAGAGAGAAGATAAAACAGTAAACCCAGGAGCTAACTGGAGGGAGAGAAGTTCAGCTGAAGACAGAATAAGATGGAGAAATATTTGTTATATAGGATGATATTAAAGGCCGGAACAATCAAAAAAAAAAATAAAAATAAATATATAATATTAAGTGAAACAATAACTAACATTCTAAGACTACAGTTATTGAAAAAATATATTATAATTTAATATTGTAGTGTTTTTTTCATTTAAATAACGAGTTTGGTTCCTTTCCGAAAGTCTGTTCACTAGGATTTAAACGTCTGCAATCACACGAAAAATAACGTATGAGATTTATGTAATAACGATGTATCCGTGTGTCATGTGTGTCCGGAAATGTTTCAGCAATAAATCGGTTTAAAATTGTTCATGCGTAAACGTGCAGGAGGGAAAAAAAACCTATTGAAGTTCTAAGTGCTCGCGGGGAAAGTTTGTAATGAATGAAAAGTACTGATTTCACTCTCGCATTCACATCGATCAAATCCAGCCGCACGAATGCGAAGCGTGCGAAGAACCGTTGTCTACGTGTTCCGAGCGGAATTCGTACACTAAATCGCGCTAATGTTTAGAGTGCAGAAAAATCGTGTTGTTTTCAAAACGAACGTTACGGATCGGCTGTTTTCCATGCATGGACGTCTTTATAGAAACATTGAACACGGACGGTTTATCCCTTAGCACACTCAGGCGATTAGTAAGCGGTTCATAAATACACGCACTCGTGTTGACGACAATATTATGTTATACTATTTTACAACACCACTGAGCCCGATGAAACGATTCGTCGTGATAATACACGTGTGCAAATTTTTCTGGAAAGTTTTGACGAAAAGAAAACTTTGAAACCAAAGACGGAAGTTCTTGTCGTGGTACCCGATCGTAGTCGATCTGGAGAAACGTCGCATAATTACATAATTGCGCGGGCAATCGTTTTCGACAAACGGAGCACAATAGCGCGTTGTAACGTGTAGTAACTCGAACAGCAGTTTTGGTGTAACCCGAACCGTCATTCAAGAAGTCTTCCATGGTGCTTGAACGATTATAAAAGCCTAAGAAAACGGATTCTAAATTTTTTAACCGCGCTTTTTTAGAACTTGGGGTTATCCTGCAGCACCTTTGATAAAACTGACTATGTTTTTTTATTTTGTTAAATCGAAAACAATTGTAAGAGATAACTGGAAAATGGTTGGCGGCACGACGCCCCTGCGAGAAGACCGTACGTTTCGAGAACCACTAACCGGTGCCAGGGGGTGCTTAGCACTCCCAAGTTCTAAATTAATACCTCCAGTTCATTTTGAGGTAAAAATATTGTTTACGAGTAAAGAGGATAATTTTGCATTTATAAAAATGAGAAATGCACTAATGCCACGAACGTACAATGTACATACATAGGTTATACATGTATATATGCAGTAAAAATGCATGTGATTCTGTGATGATGGTCAAATTTATTGCTGGAATACCATTAAGGATTTGGGTTTTGTTTTTCGTCTATAGGTTTGATCGCTTATTAATTAAAAATACTGATGTTTTTAACAATATTTAGTTATAATATAGAAAACTGCTACACTTATAATCAAACAATAATATTAAAACATTTTGTGCCAAGTAGTTGTAGGCCCTGCGATGAAGGGAGCTTACGGGGGGATTTGCTCCCCACGGATAACCCTAGGGTGGATAAATTTGGCACTCCCAAGTCGTATACTAAATGTACGCCTATGTGGAGCAGTGCTCATTACCTATTTGTAACCGTTAAAGAAGTCCAATAGTTTTAATATATCACATTAACAGAAACAACAATAGTTTATTAACATGAGTATAACATATTTGTATAAATGGTATATAGGAAATCGATTAGTTTTTTGTAATCGCATTAGCATTTCTCCGTCCGTTCCGTCGTCTTCTCCGTCGTGACCTGCCGCCGTTGCCGCTTCGCACGTCAGTAGAGTTGGGTTCCTCGGAAGACACCGCGGCCGTTTTAAACGACAGGTCCGCGCGTCCCGCGAACATTTTAAAAAACTCTGCGACCACGGACTCAACGGTCTCGTCGCGTTCCGGGGGCGTGCGGCAAGGCACCAGGAAAGCCTCAAGGTCTCGGTGCAGATGGTAGCCGTAACCGTGCAAGTCGAGGTTGTCCAGGTGCCATACACGCGGGCTGCCCTTCTGACCGCTCTCACAATCGCTCGCTGTCGACTTGAGGATGCTGCGGAGGCCGCTCACGGTGGACCCGACCACGTCCGGTGGCAGGCACCGATCGTGCACCATCACTCGGCAGTCTGCGTAAACAACACGCGGAATACATTCGTTAGCGAAAATAACACGTTTTATCAAATCTAGAGAAACACGAAGAACGCTGGAAATTATACATTGTGCATTTCATCACGTTACCGTTTTAGTTAGAATTAGTCTGTAAGCACCTGGATAATATTTCTATGGAGAAACCAATCCTAAACCGTCAGAAAATATGATTTGATAACTATTCTTGTGAACGTTTAAATATAAATATTAATAATAATTACTAAATCTTAAAAGATTATTATTTCTAAATATATTTTATATAATGCATCGACCGTTGTTAATATTGTTTGTCCAACGAGACGAAACAGTTTCTTACGATTTTTATGATTGCATTGCAATGCATTTAGAGAACTTAATTCTGAAACATCATGATTGGAGTGGTTTTTCCCCCCAAATTTTCCTTACATAATCAATATTACCCACAATATTAAATTTAATGTTTCTTTCTAAATTACTAAATAACAAAGTAGATTTCTCTGAATTAAATACTTAATTTTAAAATTGGCACGACTAACTTTAAGTACAAGTCTTTGTTCGTCTTACCGAAAATGTATAAATAAAATTAATAAAATGTAGTTAATTTAGTTAATGTATGTTTATGTATAAAATGTATTTTCTTCTTTATAACAATTGTATTAGAATAATATATTTTTATTATTATTATTCAAATTATGATTTAAGCACATCTTTTCAATAGAATTTATTTTCTTAAACATATTTTTGTTATTTATTATAGTTATTGCTTTCAAATGTATATAAATGAAAACGAAAAATTCAATGAAAGACTCATACCACAATTTAACCCTTTTTTTTTTTAAATCGTTTTTTGGTACTAATTAAATTTAAATTCTATGTTATTCTTAAGCCACTAATTTAATTGGCCTGATTACAATTATATGTTAATAATCAATACCAACAACATTAATAATAAACTAACTACTTACTTTTACACTGGGTCATTTTTTCTGTAAACGAACGTTTGGTTCTACAAAAGTAGCATTCACGACGCCACATGTTTCGTCCTGTCGTCTTCGCGTTCAAGACGTTACGCTCGAAATTGTGTTTACAGCTAAAGACATTTGTAAAGTTATATTGTATATAATATGCGAATGATACTAATTATATTTACTTTTCTTTCATTTTCAATCGTTGGAATGCACAGAATTCTAATGATAAAGAAAAAAATTCCTTGACTCGCTGACCGTATAGAATCACAAACAACACTGAACATGTATGTGATATTTACTAATATTAACAAAACGTTGCCTATTAACGGAAATCGGCTATGTTAACTTTTATCATAACACTTATGCCATATACCGTATTAGCGTTTAAAATAAATAACTTTTGAAAAAATCAACTGGATGGGTTTCAATTCTTTGGTAAAACTTTTATTAACTTTTAAAATTTTAATGTAACATGTTAATATGCTACAAAAAAATAGTGATGATATAAATTGATAGATGTTTCTCGTTTCGAATGAGATTATGTCGGGGATTAAGATTGCCAATAATAATATTATTTATTAACAATAATATTTATCAATAAGTATAACTATCGACCGGCAAGTGTCGAATCGATCTGAGATATAGACTCACTCGATACACCTTTAAATACAATATGAGTAAATATTTTTTTGATTGGTAGCAAGATATCTCTTTAAATGTTGACTGGAATGATTTCGAATATAACCAACCAAATATGATAGGAACCTGAAATAATTATTTTCATTATTTTCGATGTTGTATAATACTATAATATAAATATATAGACATTATATTCTTTCAATAATAGTTTCAAAGTAGACATTGTATTAATAATAGTTTTTTTATTTATTATTTATTTTATCATCTTTATAAAAAAAAAAAAAGTTGATACATCACATTATTGTGATTTTATGAATACAAAATACAATAAGTATGTATCATATGTATCTCGTTATATTATATCTAAGTTAGGTTTTAATGTGATTTTTTAGTCCAAAAATAAAATTGTTTAAGCAACCTATATAAAATATAATAATTCACTCTTTAATAAAAGTAAGAAAAAATAATTTTTTTTAACGCTGATCTAGAGTAAGTGCCTATAATAGCATTTGATAGAAAAAAAACCATAAATTAATTCGTTTAATTGAATTTATAGAAAATAAACAAAATGTTTTTATTTTATTGTTTTTCGTAATAATGTATTATAGTTGTATGCACATAAAGTTTAATTTTAATTTTAAAGAATGATTAAATAATACGAGTTTTAAAATGTTTCGTTTTATTTTTTTTTTGTGAAAGTGACATATCATCTAACTCAATTATTACATGCAATAATTGTTTTTTCTATTTTGGTCTATTATTGTAAAAACAACGTTTTAACGTAATAATGAGGTGTAAAAATTCCTCTGTTTAATATATTTATTCTGAAATAAACTGGCGACCAACATGCTCGTGATTATTGGTACTCGTTCAAGAATTAGATTTTTTTTTATTGTTTACAAAATGAGTATAATGAATTAAGTGTTAGAAATATTTTTGCATGTACATAACTTAAATATACTTAACTATGAATCTTATGCATCAAACTATGAGTTATATTTAATAATCATACGGTATGTTGTAATTCAATAATATTATTATACTATTTGGCTAGTATAGGAACCTGTTTATTTGATTATCATATTTATTTCGTTTTCGTATGGCAATTTTAATTAAAGCTATAAATAATAGGATCTATTATTCCGGCGCATAAGCGTCGAGAAAATGCTCTACAGCAGATAATTTCAGGTTTATATTTATCGTCCGTCATAGAATCACGCCAGTGAAAATTGTGAAAATTGGGATACTAAAGAATGCTATTCAAATTTCTGATTAAAGTCAAGTTTAGTATTATAATAAGAACAATAATATATTACTGTTGGGTACAGTTAGATAATTGACGAGAATAGTCTCAACTTTTCTAGAATATTCGAGACGGACAGGTACGGTGCGTCTCCTTATCTATCATAGGTATTGTCTGGAATGGTTACAATTCGTTTGCGCAAATTTACCTTTTTTGCAACTCCTTTGCGCACAAAATCACAACTCATTTGCGCACAATTTGCGAACAATAGAAACCTTTTTTCGAAGAAATTTATCCACGTATAGAGTGTACACAACCTGTGTACTTATCTCCAAATTTTCGAATTGGTTATAACCTGGGCTATGAACCAACAATTTTTTTCATTAAATTTTTATAAATTATACCATGTTCCATGTTTTCAGCAAAGTTACTATTTTTTAACTCTTGGTGTATTAATTTGTTTGAACGAGTATGTAGATCATTTTCTACCTTTCTTTTCAATGAACCCCTTACAATTTCTCTAGATATAATTTGATCTCAATATACCTCATGGTTATGCTCCGAACTTTTAGATTGATCAACAATTCGGTCACTTTTATTGCTTAAAATTACACTAGCATTACAAAGTTTATTAGTACACCGAAAATTAAAATTTCCATTTTTTAATTTCCTATACTCTCGAAATTTAAAATTATTCAACACTATACAACGTTTTACTCTCCGTGTTAAACAAATAGCGTCCATCATTATTTCGCCAAAACCGGAGACTAAACGAAAATTAACAGATTTGTTATAACTTATAAGAAATAATTTAAGAAAAATATTTTTAGATTAGAAATAAAGCAATAAAGATTAAAGCTTATCCCACACGACTTATTTAATTAGTGAGCACAGAAATCGCGATTATAAGATCCCTATTACAGATAGATGACAATTGATGGGAAACCATGATTGAAAATAATCATTTTACTTTAAGACATTCTGTATACCCAAAACCGTACCTACAAGCAGGTTTCCATTGTTCACAATATTTTGCGCAAACGATTTGTCATAAATTTAATAAATATATTAATATGTGCGCAAACGAGTCCTAACCGTCTGGAATATTCTAGAACTGACCTATCGTTCTACCTGCCTTCTAACCCATTGACGACCGGTTATAAATTAAGGCCATCATCACCAGGTAGACACAGTAAGGGGCGTATTGTATGTCTTATGGGGGAGGGGGGGGCACACACAAAAAGTTCAAATTGTATGTTATAACTTTTCCACTCAAAAAACTGTCGTTATTCATAACTAGAGCAGAGGATTTGTAGCTCTAAAAAAGTTCTCAATATGCAAGCACTTATGCACTTAAAAACCACATAATATGCACTTAAAAATTTTTTTAGCCTTTTTATTTAAAAGTATTAATAAAATAAATAGCATTAAAAACGAGGCAAAACAATTACATAATTTAAATATATTAAATACCATAGCTAAATAAACAAAATACATTTTATTTAATTTTCTTCATTTTCTCTAAAGAAACGACATTAGATCGTTATCACTTTTAGGAAAAATGTGTGCCCGCGGACAGTCAAAAATATACGATAAAAATTAAAAATAAATACATTTTTATTCAAACATTTTGACTAAATTGTTTGAAATAAAAATGTCACTTTGGAAAAAATCAATTTAAGTTAAATATGTCTTAAAAGTATAAAATAGTGTATAAAAGTGTAAAATATGCCCTAAAAACAAAAAGGACTCAAAATATGCATTTATATGCAAAATAAAATTTTAAAACTAGCTTTGTAAAAGCATGATACGTATTTGTTTCGTACTCTGCTATTTTTTGGCTATGCAAAACAAATATGCAAATGCTTCATATCCTCTGCCCTATTCATGGCCAAATAATCAAAATACAAGTGTTTGATAGAAACATAACATTTTATTACACAAATTTATAATAAAACATATTTTTAAATATAATTTTTGTAATTACAATAACTGATAACGTCTGGGGTATTTATTAGCATATGCATCAACTACTTCTTCAGGTTTTATAATTATTTCAGGGTGTGCATTAAGCAATGCTAATCCATTAAATCGATGGTATCATATTTTCATGATATATTGATATTCCAGTATTCCACCCTGTGCCCGTGCGTGAAATATAAGAGGGCCTATAATAATAAATAAAGTATAAAACACGGTGATTGAGGGGGGCACGGGCTACATGTGCTCACCCCTTAAATATGCCCTTGGACTCAGTTTATTTTAATCCATTGTGCGATTACATTATTATTGCCGTGTTCGTTTTTTGTATACGTTGGTTGTTGCCGCGTAAGTAATATTTGTTAGTTCATAATTTTTATATACGTTGGTTGTTGTCGAGTTTTGATTATAATAAAGGTTTTATAATTTAATCCAGTCCACTTCTTTTTTGTTCTTGATATTTTATATCCGACACCAGTTGAAGCATGGTCACTTCGACCAATTTTGAATTCGGGACCTCACTCAAACAATTACAGTAACAAAAAATACGATTCTAGAACACGGTGTGCATGTTATGACTTGCGAGACGTGTTTTTACGTTTAAAAAAAAAAAATATTCCACTTTTTAATTGTATAATAGCTATGCTTAGTATATAATAATATACTAATAATATAAATATAATATACTAATATAACTATAATAGCTAGCTTGTATGTATATAATATACAAATTTAAAATTTTGCAATAACTTTCATAGAAATAGGCGGAAAATATGATAACATAATAATCATATTATTGAAAAAAAATGTGCATTATATATTAACAAAAGTCAGAAGGAAAAAATACCATGTTTAAGATAAATATTCGTCGGATGGTATCCAATTTTACATTCCTGAAACAGAAAACTGGCGCTATTCTTTTCAACAAGACCAAAATTTAAATCATGCAGAAGCTCGATTCGTTGGGTCACCAATCGAGGATATCGTAGTTAAGTAAAAAAAAAAAAATAATCATGGAAAACGCAAACTGACGGTTCCTCCAGTTTTGTTGAAAACTTGTCAATGCCAGATGAGGAGTTTCTAGGAACGTATCGATACGCTCATTAATCTTAAAACATGATGTTTACTAATACGTTTGTATAGATTCTGTTAAAAAGAAAGAAAAAAAATATGCATACATATTTCTACTTACGCGAGTTGAATTTACCTAATTTT